ATGGCCTCCAACCTAGTAGCGATGGCCTCCAACCTAGTAGCCATGGCCTCCAACCTAGTAGCGATGGCCTGCAACCTAGTAGCGATGGCCTCCAACCTAGTAGCGATGGCTTCCAACCTGGTAGCAATGGCCTCCAACCTAGTAGCGATGGCCTCCAACCTGGTAGCAATGGCCTCCAACCTACTAGCGATGGCCTCCAACCTACTAGCGATGGCCTCCAACCTACTAGCGATGGCCTCCAACCTACTGGCGATGGCCTCCAACCTACTGGCGATTGCCTCCAACTTACCAGCGATGGCCTCCAACCTAGTAGCCATGGCCTCCAGCCTAGTAGCAATGGCCTCCAACCTAGTAGCGATGGCCTCCTTGACTTACAAGAGGAAAGCCTTGCGGCATGGCTGATCAACTGCAGTCATGCAGTCATGCTGATCACATGCTTGCGAGGAGCCTATCTTCTTTGTTTCACGATTCTTGAAAAGTGCGGTACCACAAGTCCTTACAACATCCCACCATAGAGGCTACGGGTCAGAGTATCTGAAGCACGAGAGCTGTTGATGTCAATGGCCACTTGATTTGCAGCACATCTCGTCCCGGACTCGAATCTATCCAACGACGTAACGACGTCCATTCATTAACTGATTAACTCCTTGTCAACCGATGTTTGAGCACTACAGACTGTAGGGATCAGCCTGAGGGCAAGCGCTGCGATGTCAAAGACAACCTGAGCACCATGTTCCAGTGTCCGCGCACATAAAAATACACGGAAGGTATCCCATTCCCCTCCACATTATATAGAATCATCCAAAGGATATCCTTTTCTATTCTTGGTCCCTACTTTGGCTTTTCAACACTGGCTTTGCAAACAAGCTTGCAGCTTGCGGCGAGCTGAGCTGTACACAAACAAGCCAAGAAAGCTAGCAAACCAAATCCCGATGCAATGCTCGGGAAATACCGCTGTGATGGCCTTCCCTTTGGCAGTGTTGATTCAGTATGTTTACATTTGAGTTCAACGACCAGTGAGATTTGCTGGGATTTTCAGTCTGTCAGAGTCCGTGGCTGTGGAAGCTGTTGGCAAAAAGCACAAGGCAAGGCCTGCAAAGACTGCATTGGGCTACTCACGAATCTCCGTGGTTTGACTTTGAGAGCACGTTAAGCTTAGAAGCTGACCAAAGGTTACTATGTATGTATAGTGAGTGGTTCAAGTCATCAGCATTCCCAAGCAACTTCAGCACTTCTCTCCAGTACAAGCTTTCTTGAGGATGCTTCGGGCATCTATTCCACAAGATTGGAGGGGTGCTTCTGCCATGCCCAACCTTGTAGTAGGCTGCTACTCTTGCGGAGCAAAGCAATCAAAGCCGAAAGATGCGAGAATGCCTCAGTTCACGCTATAAGCTGAACCCACACACAACACAGGACCGGGAGGTGCCTCGATTCATAGACTGCAAGGAAATGTGTGTGTGTGTGTGGAAAATAATCAGTAGAAACAAATGTGAACCATGTCTCTCGGAACTGGTTAGTACACTGTATGAAAGCATAAGCAGTACCGCAGGGCTGCAAGTATATTCTGCGTGGTAAATCAATATCTTATTTAAGGGAAAAGCTGTAGCTCAATGCTTGCGAAGGAAGAGTCTGCAAACAATGAAAAGACTAGCGGGAAGGGCGACAAATTCGCAAGGTGCCGGGTGTATTGTGGCACTGCAGGGTCATATTGTCTTGAAAGGTACCTCAAGCAAACTTGCCGACCTATTGGCATCCGAGCAAATCTTTGCTCTGAAAAATTGAATTTCCAGAACAATGGATCGTCTTCGTTGCACTCAGACTGACCTTTGAAGGCCCTCAAAAGCGGACGCCTTGAAAATGGCGACGAAATCAAATTGAGTTGGTCATTGTCAGGTGCACAATATGGTCATCGTACAGTTTAAACAAAGGCTCCTAACAATGTGATTTCAGTTCCTCTATAAGCCCTTACAATATAATATGGTGGATGACATTGGGTGATGTGGATGTGACTTCACCAAGCTTCTACGGCCTTGCATCCTTCATTAAAACAAAGGAACTCAAGCTGCATTGATGAGAGCAGGCTTGAGAATCTTGCAAACGACCCTGTTCGGACAAGGGGGGCCACACGTCCATCCCTTTCCGTTTCACCCGAGATCTTGGCATCGGCACTGCAGAGAAGCCGTGAGCTGCAGCTCCGCCTGAATGTTGAAACAGCAGCATGGGACATCATGGGACCAAGTAGGAAACCTTAAGGAAAACCTTAAGGAACCTAATAGCGATGGCCGACCTAGAAGCGATCTAGGAGCGATGGCCTCCAACCTTGGAATTGCCGTTTGTTGTGATTTTTATCTATATATATACATATCGGATATCGTCCAAACACATCACGGTCTCAATAAAAGCCCTGCCTTGGCCATAAACCTTCCGCCACAGCAGAGGCCACAGCCGCACTATGGAGGCCGACGCCAGACTCGAAGGCCTTTCCCAGTTGTGGACTATGGATGTGGCCAATCTGTGGCTACACTGCTCTGCAGTATGGGACGCAAGTATTTATGACCCCATTTGCAACACGAGTTTCTGAGTTCTTCCATCTATGGACAAGCTGGACTGTGCACAAACTCTGCCCAGCAATAGTGCTTTCGTTCAAAAACTGTCGAAACACCTGCAAGACTCTGACAGGTGATCAAAAGTGTGGCATGTCAAGTCACCGGTCTATTTGCACGCATAAAACAAGCCTGCTTGGTCCAGTGACCGGGATCGCCTCCACGGGCTGTCGACCTACACCAGTCCGACTCAGACCGGAGATAGCCAGAGATGTTCCACGGGCTTTAAGTTTCTTGAGAATATGAGCGTGGTTCAAAACCGGAATTCGTTTTTCGGGGTGCTTCTTTCCCAAGTTCCTTTGGCAACCCTTGCGCGGCCGTTGTGGCTTTCGCGCTGCGTTCTGTGCAAAAACACCTTCGCAAGCTTTCGCGCATGAAAAGTTGGTAAACTCATTCTTGACTGTGTGACTATGTGTTTATCGTTCGCAAAGGCATCTCGAATTAACCTCTCCGCAAATTGTTACATGGGAGGTTTTGGCCGCTGCTCATGTGGCAAATGCTGCAGAGCTCTGAGTCATACTCATACTCATGTCTCCCATACATTAGAAACTGCAGGCCTCAGCATTCCCATGTCCATGAAGATCACTAAAGTAGCAATGCTGGAGCAAACGCCTCAGCTTCTCTTCTGAAGGGCCGACTGCTGTGACACCTTTGGGTTCACATTGTTTCACGCTCATCACTGAGCTGCAAACTCTTGATCAGTTGCAGCAAATCATGCCGGCCCTTAGCCCCGCTGATCAGAGTTGTGTTGCAGAAACAAACGATCCAGAAAGCAAAAGAGTTTTTCTTAGCTCGCTCCTCCTACTTAATTAAGCAGGTGCCTACTCAATTAAGTAAGGGCGACTAGGAACAGGACGCAGGATAGTTCGCGCTTCTTCAAAGAAGCGCTAGCACTAATGATTTGGTTTCTAGACTTTTAGGGAAACCTCAATTCTACATGGCAGGTTGATCCTGCTCCAACCGCTCCAAGCCAAAAAAGCATAGGTTTGCAAAGACTGCAGTGGCATCATGGTCAGACAAAACAGAAGCTACAAAAGTAAGAACGGACATCATCTTCTCAACGGCCTTCTCTCTTGTCAAGCCACCCTTATGCGGACGCTCACATTTTCAACGCGTCTTGACAGCTTGTCATACCGCTTCAATAGGTCCGTGTAGGACATCAAACCTTGTTCCTGGGAACCATAGGAAAAGTGCACGACCAGCGCAGAGCCAACTGCGCAAGAGTGCTGGTCTCGCCGTTCTGCGTGCGGACCCGTGAACTCTTCCTCATCATCACCTTTCCCATGGACATTCTCCCAGTTCACGCCTGCTAAATCCGAGGGCCTAAATACAAAGAAATTTGTACTCCAGCGTGCCCCCTCCGACCAGTACTCCTTGCCAATGCTCGGCGATCGGTGAATATATTTGTGTTCCCTGTATCCAGCACGATTGAAGTCATGCCATCCAAAGTCAAAGGTGCATAAGGTGTTGTCTCTTACGCGATCCAAAAAACTTTCGTGCACCAATGCTGCACAATCCCAGCGCTCAACCACACAACGTGAGGCTGGAAATCGTTCAATCGTAAACTCGGGTGACATGTTGATCTCTGACATCTTCTTCCAGGGCAAACGCATGGAGGGGTTTCTCCGCTGCTCCGCCGGTGGCCAAAACCCTCTGTGCGCACCACGATCTTGATGCAAAGCAGACATAATTGCATGATTAACTACGTTTGCAGACACCAGCAAGCATCGCTCTCGCAATCGCTCTCTCACGAGATTGGCAATCGCATGCTCCGCAATGTACACCACATCATCATCCACTTTCACATAGACCGTCTCGCTCTCATTTAGGCTTTGATACAATTGAACCATTCGATCTGCACCCAATTTCTCTTCAGTGAAGTCACGTACCTCAAAGGCCTCAGGTGTCCGCTTCACTTGTTCTTGTATGAAGGAAACATCCCTCTGAGTTACTTGCCACAAGGCGAAAATAACTTTGTCCACGACCCCACCTGCCAGACGTAAATCGCGCCGCAGGTAGCGCAGAAGGATTCGCAATCGATCTCGGCGGCCAGTGAAAACCACAACCTCCACACGCGTGGAAGAGAGATCCCTGTAGGAATCGCTCCTTGTGAGACACTTTGGGTTCAAGGGATCATCGAACCGAGCTGTGGCAACATCTTGCTCCGCCAGTTTCTCCGCGTTGATGCAAGCCTCAGTGTCTGAGGTCTTCAGGGCGCCTTCCTTTATGGAGCTTTGCTTCGGACCAGGAGGCCAAGAGCCAGCTGCCTGTCTATGCGTGGCTAGCATGTCTTCATAGTTGCTCAAAGCTGTGGGGGCTTCATCCGTCCAAGGATCACCAGCTGGGCAACGCAAACGTTGGAAGCAAAGTGCCTCCACCACCGACTGCGCTGAAGCAACGCTGTGCTTCTCTGTTTGTTGAACAAACTTCTGTAAGATATGACGGTCTGCTGCAAAATACCTCTGGCAGCGCTTCTTCACATCCTCTTCTGCCAAGCTCTCTGGCGCGGTGTGTGTCAAGACTCGTGCCAGAGCAGTCGAGACAAGGGCATCAACATCTCTGGCACCTGCCAGAGATTCATGGGCTAAAGCGGCACAATACTGGCAGGATTCACAAACCACGAAAGCACAGGCAAGCGGACAGTAGCTCAGCAGGCCTGCCAAAGTGAGGCTGTGCTTCATTTGCCATCGGCTAGCTTACTGTAAATCATTTTTGAAGCAAAAAGCTGATCGATGAAAAGGAAACGGTAGATGCTGGAAGCGCGGACGTCCATTCACAGGTTGCGTATTGATGCAGAAGGAATCATGTATGTATCTATGTCGGCTAGCAAGCCCAACTTTGAGCTAAATGTCACAGCAATGACTGATGCAAAACGACAATCAACTAGCGCCAAAACTGGGAGGATGGTGGAGGTCTAATCTTTACGAAATCCTCCAAAAGAACAAGGTGTCTGTTGGCAAGAAGATAAAAGTATATAGTCTCTTGAACCTCTGTCAGCACTCTTGCACTGAAGCGTAGTAGCCCCTCGCACACCGAGTCAAAGGCTCTACAGAGACAAACTCCGTGCAGCATCAACCTGGAATTCATATTGAACATGTTTGAGGGCAACGGTCCTAATGCACTGCCGAGCAAGAAAGCAAGAAACAGTTGTCAAAAGTTCGGTTGGCGGACCACGTGAAGATCCAGCCGGCTAAGCTCCAGGTGGCCTCAGGACAAGTCTCTGCTCACAAAGCCAACAAACTGCGCTGCTGGCTATTTTGCAAAAGGGTGAGCAAACTGTTCAAGGCTTTTGCAAGCGTGCGTTAAAAAACCTAATACTGTAATCCTCGTGGGCATCAACCTCTTTTGGGCAAGGGGACATGGAACATCTCGCCCAGCTCGGCCTCAGCCTCCACTATGCCCCCGGTGTCTGGTGGGCCGAGGGCACAGGGCAATGTGAGGTAGGCCTTCAGAACCATGCGGGGAAGTGACACAAAGTAACGGAACGACCCTGCACAAGTCCCAGTTGCATAAATCGCCAAGATGTTTTTTTCAGCGTTACGGGGGTGAAAGAACTTGTCGCCCAAGACTTAGCAACAACAAGCCAACCAAATGGACATGTTCAATCATGCTGCCCTTTTCACTGCCTCAAAGGTTTGATTTATCTTTGCGATTCAACTTGTCAAAACAAACATCAACAATAAAGCGGTATCTTCACTGCCGACACCTGCATCTCGCTCTCTCCACCGCGAACTGACACCTGCAGAACGGGGGAAATCTGCAATCCTGTCCCTTCAGGCTAGCTCACTTGCCAGCCACTGAGCACCAATCATCAGGCTGGAATCACAAGGTTCTGACGAACCCTAAATGTGCAAGCCTTCGTGCCACTGGCAGTTCAGTCAAGATGGCGGGAAGCTATAGAGTAGGATATCTTGTTTGGTTATTCAAAGTGCACCCCCTATTAGTGTGGACACCTTGGAATCAGAGGTTGTCCGGGATCTCTAAGAAAACCCGCACATCACGATACCTCAGTACCAAGAGACTGCAAGGGGTTGATGGGGCTCTCTGGCATGGTGACGGCCTACTTCTGGCGTGGTGATGGCTCTACCTTCCACTTCTACTTCGATAATTCGATAAGTCGGCCACAGTGTTTATTAAGTGCGGGAGGCAGCAACCCCCTTCAACCAACAATGCTTTGTAGCAACGTCCACGACCAAGCTTCTTGGTACACTTCTCGATTTGTCGCCGACTGGTGGCGATCAACCTTATGGCGCACAACGAAAGTGCGAGACACGATCTTTTCTCTGAGGCTCGGACCCACCATTGCGGTATGCGTGGCTATACATGAAAGGACGGTGGCAAACAGCTCATGTGGTCATGTTCAGGTATGCGTGTCACCTCTAAACTCTCATCGCCCCCATTCCTGAGTTGTTTGCCGGATGTGAAAGGCCAGCGGCTCTGTTCTGCCAGCTGTTCGATAGCTGCGAAGAAGGCATCTTCGTGTTCTCGAATTATCTTCTCCAGTTCCTTCTTGCGCACCTTGCGGTTCGACTCAAAGTTCGGGTCATGAACCAACTTCCAGCGTTGTCCTCGGGCCATGGAGGTCAGCAAAACCTTTCGTGCGGCCCACTAGCTGTCGCCCACCTGAACTCCTCCGTGCACCCATCGGAATTGCGCGCCGATGGGTCGAGCTTGATCCACTGATCGTGAGCTCATAGCCTGCTCGCGATGAGCGGAGGCCGTGGAGACTTGACACGTTCCGAGTGGCCGCGTCAAATATCCCTCTGTCCATGATGACAGCTCCCTGTGACATGGTCTTCACCATGCCATAGAGGTCTTCCTTCTTTTCGAAGGTCTGGCCATGAAGTTCGCACCACATGGCTCTGGTGTGGAAGACGAAGTCCTCTGCCTCCGTCACTGCCTGGACCTCGGCCCCATTTGAGCCCAGTACTTGTCTTGGTGTCTTGCTCGACCGCCAGTGAATGAGCGACACTCCATGCTCTTCACCGTGGAGGATTCCAGCTGGGGCTGGTCCACCAACGATGCCCATTGCGCTGCTGGAGTCTGGGCGGTTCTTTTGGCCTGCATCGGCCCAAGCAAGCACTGCTATGTTCTGCCATGGCTCATTCCATGGGTGGAAGATCAGGGATTGGTTGGCTTCCCTTTTCATCTCTCGGAATGAGCTTGTTGGTCTTGTGGATCATTTCCACTGTCGCCCATGGCAACTCGGAGAGGAGTAGGCCGGCGTCGGCCAGGAACTGAGGCGAAGTCTGTGAGGCACGAAACGCGATCGTTCCAATTGCTCCCTGAGCAGGGAGACCTCTTTGGGAGTTGCAGTCGACTTCCTTTGATGCATCCGGCCCTCTTCAATGTGGATCTCTTCGATCCATATGTCAGTGTATTCTTGTTGGTCGGTCCGGATTTGGAAGTCCTTGGACTGCTGGACGCGGCAGCCTGTGAACTTGAAGTCATCTTGTTCCCACTTTCCCCAGCGGTATGCTTCTTGCAACTGCTTGAAGCAACGCTCAAACTTCTCATGGCCGTCTTGGCCGCCAATCAACACGTCATCGACGTGTATGCCAGCAACTGAGACGTTTTCGTCTGGGGCGTCATCTTTGAGGATGAAGATGCACTTGTCACTTTTCACCTGGCGCCACCCGATCCGACGGAGTGTGCCGGTGAGGCGGTCGTACCACGCCCTTGGCGCGTGGGCCGAACTCGGACAGGCGTGACCGGGTTCTCTGGAGGTGCCCAAAAAAGTACTGCCAGTTCGGCTGGGCCCACACAGTGAGCTCTTGAATCTTGGCTTTCCATGCACTGATCAGCCTGAAGGCAGGCTGACGCGGCGTCCCCTGCACGGACGCGCAGGTGTAGATTGGCACACGCAGCAAGGATCATGTTGTGAGACAGGCGGGACATGGTCGGAGAGGCTGCTTCGACTTGGGTCAGATTAGGAGCCTGGTAGCCTAGCGCAACAAGTCGGGCCCTGGAGCTCCCATCTCACTTGGTCGTGAGGGCCCACCTCATCTTCATGACTGAAGCGGGATCCAACTGAAGGTGCTCCTGCTCCGTCAGACATCTGAGCGCAGGACTTGTGAGAGCTCCTTGCATTGGGCTTCATCAAAGCCTTTCTTTTCTTCCAGGCTCAACTTGGACCAGAGCTTCTCTTTGCTCTTTTCTGGCACCTTCTTTGACATCCAGGCAGTTGCCCGGTTTGGGTGGTTTGCCAACCACTGCGCTTCCTTAAGTCACTTCGATCTCCAGCACATAGACAGCATAATCTTGTTCAGCCGCCTTCTTCTCAGCTTTCTCTTTCTTCCTTCTCTTCATCTCCCGGACAGGGACCATTTCATCAGCAGAAAAGGATGAGCTCGAAGAAGAGCTCGAAATTGACGAGGAGTCCTCTTCATCCATGCGTCCATTGTAGGGGTCCCACGTGAACCGCTTCTGGTCTGGGTCCATGTGTGGTCCATCGTGACCTCCTGGCAGCTGGCAACTTTGAACCGTACATTGGTTTCCAGAGTTGAAGAGCCTCTTGGAGGCTTTCATCAGGCATGGGCGATTCTGTTGTCTCATTAACTGCCGTGTCCTCCTCCTCAGGAGGGATGGCCTTGAAGGCCTTCTTCTTCACGGCTGAACTTGTACTTAACTTAGGCGCCCTCTTTTGCGGGCCTTTGCTTGACTGAGCTGTTGAGATCTCGAACCATGTCTCTCCGGTCCACCGCTCTTGGAGCAGTCGGTGGGGATCATCGGCTCGCTTATAGTCGTCTTCAATTGTCACTTGCGACGATCCTTCGATGAGAGAGCCTTCATATGGGTCTTACGGATGCCCGATAGGCTTGCTTCGTCTACAGGTGGGGAAGTCACCCGTGCTGGAGAGAACATTTTGCCAGTCTTGGGGCGTTGCGGGCTTGAATGAGCCACTTGCCTGGTTCGACTCGCCAGGTGTCGGGTTGGTTTCTGGCTGGTTCGAGGATCACCGTTGTTTGTCGCTGCTGCTGCGATGGGGCTTCACCACAGATGTTTGTGAAGCGCTTTCCCGTGAAGTCCCTTACAAGGGATTCCAAGGTCACTGGCATTCGGACGATGGCCGTTCCCTCAAGGGAGGCCTGCAATTCTTCCTTTTAGTCACAAGCCGAACTTGGTTTGTCTTGGCTTTGACTATATTGGAGCCAGTTGCCATCCAGACCGTGGAGGACTTGGAGTGGTCCCACCCAGCTGCCCGATACTTTTCCGCAGACCATGACTAAGGCTGGTGGTAGCATTTGAGAGTTTGCTCACGCGGATCCCGGCTGACTCCATCTCATACACCACTTTCGCCCTGGCTTTCAACTTTAGCAGGCCTTCTTTGGGCCCATTCCAACTCTTCAGGTGGATCTGCTCCTCTAAACCACTGGAAGGGACTGAATCCATTTGGTCCGGCTGTCTTGTTGCGAGCGTGCACTGACAGATCCATGAGAGCCTCGACGTCTAAGGCTGGTGTCTCTTTCTTCAAGCGAGACAAGGTGGCCAACGCAGCCTTCTTCCGCACCAAGTAGCCAGTGGGTTCAGCTGGCGTGTTCATCAACCCACTGGCTCATGTAGTCTATCAGTCTATCACCTCTGGTATAGTAGGTGGCTGGGTCAGTAATCACCCACTTGGGTGTTGGGTTGTGTTGCAGCCACTTGCCGGATGAGCGAAGCACGTCAGCTGCCTTGGGCTCCCAGTACCATGTATCTTCATCAAGTCAACCTGGGCGAGACGACTGGCTCGGTCTCTGCATAAAATGAACTTGGCCTTCTGGACTTCTTGAGTCTCGCGGTGGTTGAACTCCACTTCAAAAACATCAAACAGGCCTGGAAGTTCTCCGGCGCTGGCTGGTGGCGCGGGGCGAGGCTTCTTGGCCTCAATGCACTCGCTGCACCGAAGTTCTCCAGCCAGTGCCACTGCCCAAGCCGGTGCATTTCTGGCGCGGAGAACTTGTTGGAGATTGGTCATTGAAGGATGGCCGGAGGCTCTGTGAATGCGCAGCATGGTCTGCTTCATCTGTTCGAGCTTCTTGCCTGTGGGTTGCTCGGTAGGGTATCGTTGCCTGGTCAGAGTGAGGATGGATGGATCTTCTTCCCGGGCTTTGCCTTCCCAGCTTTTCTGGGTCTCATCTTCATCGAAGCCCAAGAGATGGACCTGCACATCCTTGGCTATGGAGATGTTGGCCTTCTCTTCATTGGAGGTCCAGGTGCCAGTGACGGCCTTCACGACCGCTTTGACCATTGCTATGGGGTAGTAGGCACTGGCCTGCGCCACGTGGCCTCGGCATTCGAGGTGTTCTGCATGGGCTTGGCATTTCTTCTGGAATGCCATCCATAGGCCTCTGTTGGACGTCATCACGGCCATCCTTTGCGAACTGGCACGCCGTTAAAGGTGGGGCCGAATGCACAGCCATGGAACCGGCGCCAAAACACCGGTCGTCCCAGCTCTTTGAGCCTTGCTTCAAGGCGTCGGATGGCTCTTGACAGCCATCCTTTGGCTGCTCCAGTTGGCTACTCTCGCGCGAAATCATTGCTTTCATCGAGGGTCTCACAGACCGCTTGACTCACCTCATCGGCGCGTTTGAGGTCGCGCTGTTGTCTCTTCTCCAAGTTTGCTTGTTCTTCAGGCGAACGCTGGGTGAGATGTGTCAGAGACGTGAGACGGGCGCATGGGAGGCTGACCCACGTCATTCGTGATTTCTTGCTCTTCATGCTGATGGCCAGTCGCTCAGCGCCTGACCTGTTGTCCTTCCAGGTAGTTGATTCGTTGGATGGAATAGCCATGCGCTTCCGTCTCGGCACTGAGCGAGCTTGTGGCTGAGCACGCCACTTCCATGAAGTCCCCCTGACCAGACATTTGGGTGAACATGGACTGCACAGGAGCCATGATCATCGCTCCGAGGAGTGTGGCTGTCACTGACATCTTCTTCGCCAGTGATGGTGGAACCATGTTCTTGCTGCTGCTGCTGCTGCTCTGGTTCTTGCTGTGTGCCCAAGCCGTGGGCGTGCTCTGCCACTCTATACTGGATGCCCGCGCGTGCCCAGCAGAGGAATGTGAATGTTATGGCCGGGTTCGGCCATTGGGTTCGCGGTGCACGCCGCGCTGTCGCGCTGACAGGCGGCGCAAGACGTGGCGCCGTGAGGGCTTGTGGCGCGTGACGTGTGGGCGCAAACTGCATCCTGCCGTGGATTGAGACCAGTGATGGTCTGGGCATCTGGCGACGCCGTGCTGCTGTGGCTGTCTGCTGCTTCCGGAGCCATTACCAGCTCCCTTGCCGCTCCTCTTCTCCTCGATCCTGATCCTCCCCTTCATCCTCGTCCGAGCGGATCATCACCACTTCCGCTCCGTCAAGGATCACTGGGGCTTCGCTGCCCTTCGCAGCTTCTTTGCCGCATAGGCCTTCTCCTGCTCGCTGCGCCATCCGCAGGGCCATTTCCTTCACTTCCTTCTCCAGGGCGCTCTCCTGCCGTCTTGGCTTCGCTGGTGTCTTCTTGGGAGAGGGCGACAATGGCACTTCGGTTGGACTCATCTTGTCCTTGGGGCTGCCGTTGGGACTCCATCCATCCGACCATACTTCTCCACCCTCTGGTGGTACTCGTCCAGGCCGGATGATTTGGGGATCCGGTCCCAGTTCCTCCACGCTTGGTGTCCGGAGTCCGCACTTCTGTACATGGCATACTTGTTCTGCCTCATCTTTCAGTCCCAGATCCCAAGGTCATGGTGGGAACTGTGTCCGGTGGAAATTCACGTTGCTCTGACGCACGACGCTGAGCTCCAGCTACGGGAGATTGGGATGGAGTGGATGGAGGATCCATCCGTGCAGGGCCAGGGGCTATCACATGGCTCAGTGCACGATCCCTCATCAGGCTTTGTTGCAGATCTTGAAACATCTCCTCCTCCTTCACGATGAGCTGTGCCATAGTCTCTGAAGGACCTTTGCGCAGGTTGTGCAACTTTTCCAGCTATCCGGGATGGGCAACTGTTGAAGTGGGCTCGCACGCAAAACATTTAACAGACGTGTCAAACAATCGTCATTAGTATATTCATCTGGATCTGGATCTAGGTGTTTGACAACTGAGCGAGCTGCTCCTGATAGCTGCTGCCAAACCTTGGATGCCGCTTGAGATCTTTCCGAAGGCTTCAGGCTTTTCTGAAGCCACTTGCATGCCCCAACGAACGTGTCGAACGTAGCAGCGTTGCCATCCCAAGTCGGAACGTCAGATGTTCCTGCGGCCATCCTTTCTCTCACGCCCCTGGAGCCACCAGGGGCTCCGCTGCCATGCGGGAGGTAGCAACCCCCTTCAACCAACAATGCTTTGTAGCAACGTCCACGACCAAGCTTCTTGGTACACTTCTCGATTTGTCGCCGACTGGTGGCGATCAACCTTATGGCGCACAACGAAAGTGCGAGACACGATCTTTTCTCTGAGGCTCGGACCCATCACTGCGGCATGCGTGGCTATACATGAAAGGACGGTGGCAAACAGCTCATGTGGTCATGTTCAGGTATGCGTGTCACCTCTAAACTCTCATTAAGCCAATGGCCTCTTTGGGGCTTGAGGATGTCGCACTTACTCGATCTGTTTGACTGTCGAGTCGAGAAGCTGTGGCGATAGCTGGTCTGTTTCATGGTTCTGATTGTCTCAGCCGAGAGGCATACGTTCAGACTTCTGCATGTGCTTGGACAAAATACTCAGGACTTTTCATACTGTTCGAACTCCGGTCTGTTGGACGTTGGTGGCCATCGAATGGCTGCCAGCTGCCTGCAGCTGGCTCATGGACTTCTCGCAGCCTGCGCGCGCCAACTCCACCACCTTCGCAACATTTCGCAGCGTGAAATCTGACTGCAGTAGATTGTGTGTGATTCATGATTCTTCGTCCTAGTGTTCCGACCGTTCCCGACCCTTTCCAGTCTTACTTTTTGACTGTGGGCTTTCATTTTGGCGACAGCACACTTCAAGTCAACTCCCACTTCAGGTTGGCCCACGTAGTTTGAAGCCTCATGCTGTGGAAAACTGGGAGTGTCTTGCAAGCCCTCTCTCACGTGTCCAAGTATGGCCATAATTCGACAACTATGGCAATTCATTCATCTATCATCTATCTTTGCAATTCTAATCGACGAGTGCAAGGAACTCCGTGTTCCTTTTAGACAGAAACGCTCTGATACAAGGCACTGGTTGCGGGGAAACACCTGACAAAACACACCTTCACTAGCGGCCTGCAAAGCGATCTGATGATATTCCGGCCTGGAGAAAATAGAGAAAAAAGAATTTCTCACAGAAAAATAGAAAACTCTGCCATTTGTGGAAGTTCATTACTGTCTCGGCAAACAAGGAACATGCACAATGAAGTTCTTCTCTGACTTGCCAGTCATCATACCGGGGATCCTGGCGCCAAGTTAAGACTCATCATGAAAGCTGCCAATGCTTTGGGCAGCACATGACTCAATCTGGCCGCAAATGCAAACCCATCATCCTGAAGGCACACTGCCTCTTCTAGTCTTCATAATCATTATGAAATAGTTTGCAAAGGGAGTATGTGCTCTGCACAACCATGTGAACAGTCTTGCTTAAACTTTGCAGAAGCCGCTACATGCTTCTGGAGCTGAAACGTTCAAACCCAGTTTGCTTCTTTGCTAGCGTGGTCAAGCGACATCTGTGTCAGCATGTCCCAACAATACCTTGTCACCAAATATGCAATAATTCTATATATATTATATGTAATATGATGTGTGTGTGTCATGAAGTTGCATCCAGTCTCCATGGTACGGTGTAGTGAGCCAACTGTCGTTGAGTACATCGGCAGTTTCCCTTGTTCTCTGTCATGATCTTGACAACAATGTCTGAGTTCTCTGTCATGAACCGTCATACCGGCAAACACATGCTGGACCTGCATGCAAAGCATGGTGGAACTTCTCAAGGGTCACATTGATTCTCCAGTGGTTGATAACTGCAAATTCTCGACTGACTGTTGCACCCCCCGGATATGTCAACCTATGTGCATGAATTGCTCTACCTCCATTATGTAGATATGGGCATGGATGTACTTAACATTATCTTAGGAGCAAGGACGCTACTGGGGGCTCCTGGCATCGCTACTAGGAACAAGAAGCTAGGGGCTCCTGGCCTTACTGCTAGGAGCGAGGACGCTACTAGGAACAAAGAGCATCGCTACTACTTCCTGGATTCCTGGCGCCACCCTATATTTTGTGCGGAACCTGTCTGGTCAGGTGGACGCCGGTGCCTCAAAATGATTCCACCAACGAGGCACGGTGTCAATCTCTCTCTCTCTCTGTTTGGCATCCCAAAACTCGACACCCTCACCAGTCAGCTTGCGTGTAAAGTAGCCACTATGTATAGGGTTCCAACTGGAAGTGCGCTTCTTCGACATACTGGTACCCCGTCATGCACACATGAATGCAGCTGAGGCCAAACACATCATGTGCATGTGCACCATGTGTTCAACGTATCTGCATGTGTTCGATGTCTTGCGTACTTCTTGGGCGTCGAGCACTTGAAATCGCTGTCCGCAAGGTCTTTTTTCTGAAGAGATTGCAGACCCCTCATGAGGAGAGCTTATCTGCTGAACACAGACCCATTGAGGTGAGTGTCGGAGATGACAAGCTGGCAGGCTTATCAGCAACAATACTATATAATACGCTACAAAAGTCGTGAACAGGTGAACAAACCTAGAATATATGACTAGCGATGCACTTGTTCCTAATAGCTTCTTGTTTCTAATATATGAACTGCATTCATAATGAGCAGGTGAATACAGTCCTGCTCATTATATACGCGACCTTTGCGAAACTCATCAAGACGCGTCTTCTCGGGTGTGAGGCCCACCTTGGGCTCTAAGGACGTAGGGCCACCGTCACTTTGCAGATAAAAGAATCTTGCTTATCGTGGCAAAAACCGCTCTCTCATTCTCAGTTCTCAGAGATTCTCTACTCAAGTGGACAACACTTCGGCAGTTTCAATGATGCGCTGCCACACATCTCTGATCAGTGTCCCAAAAATACTTAAAACTTCATGCAGCCGGCTTTGCCGTCCAATAAAGATATATCATAGAGATGCATTCCGAAGTCACCAACACTGCATTGAATGATCTTGCACACGTCCAATGCAGAGGCTGAGGTCCAGAGAACAAAAGCAGCAAACAATAGCACTGCTCGAACAAAGAGCACGGAAAGCCATCTGATTAAAGCTTCTCCACAAAGTAAACCAGCTGCATGGTCCGGTCCTTAATTGATTGTAAGGAGTTTGATCTTCCACTTGCAGACGCTGAACTTCGGAGCTATCCGGCCTTACATTTTCAAGCACTCGAATGCTGATATGTACACTGAGAGCTCACCTTGTACACTCGAGTTGAATAGTGTGAAACCCACCAGAAACCGCGAGAAGAAAAGTCATCAGACCTGCAGTGCACTCCCTCCGATGTGAGCCAAGCAAACAACCTGTGGAGATATTTGACAAAGCGCCCACAAAGTGTTCTTTAAGCCCGGGGGGATAGGCCGCTAGTAGAGGGAACTGGTAGTAGCTAGGGAGTCGCTAGTAGCTACAAGAACGCTCCTACCTAGGATGCAGAAGAGCTCCCGCTTCTAGCTCACGCTTCTTCAAGGAAGCTCCCCCTGCCTGAAGGCGGGTGGAGCTTCCTTGAAGAAGCGCTCGCACTATTCATTTGGTTCCTAGATTTTTAGGAAAACTTAAGTTCCGTATGAAACCACGTGTGATAAGTGTCGCTGATGCGGGGAGATCCTGATCTACTCGCCTGGTCTCGCTTAAGATACAAACTGGGTCCAAGTTCAAACTCAGCTTCTCTGTGTTTATATGAAGAACGTCTTTGTGTGTATAGTCTATGCATTCACAGTCTAAACCCTGTTACTAATCTCATGAGAAATATTGCTTCACCAGCACAGAGCACTTCTCTTGCACTGTAATTGAGAAATGCGTTCTCCACAATGTGCCATCTTAGCATCGTGCTTCGCCCGGAACGTCTGGAGACCCCAACCTGCAGGGCAGACTGTAAACGGTCTGGCTCAAGCCTGAAAAGGAGTACTTGCTAATAATGCTTGGCGCAAAATACACAAACATTGCCTTGACTTGCCATTTATTACAGCACATGTCTCTCCCCTGTATTGTCAATGATATTGCTTGAAGTGAAGTCAGTAGAGCGAACAACAGTATACAAAAAGCCAGTCAACTCGCACCTTGATCTTGGGCTCACTGCCCTGAGCCGCAGAACTCAAATTCACAAAGTATCCGCATGGAAAAAGAGCTGAGACATCAAAGAGCTGAGACATCAAAATGGATGTGCAAACTTCATGCCGTGGATCTGTTGTACCAGGACTGACTCACCATCCGCCCACACCGATCAGCTAGGGATCATTAGGGTTTAGGATGGTTTAGGGTTGGGTTACTGCTGCTACTTAATTAAGCCCGCTGCTACTTAATTGAGTATGTGCCTACTTACTTAAGTAGGGGAGTAAGCTACTGGAGACTAATTCGCTCCTAGAAACAGGGCGCAGGATAACTCACGCTTCTTCACCCGCTCGCACTCATGATTTGGTTCCTAGATGTTCACGGACACTTAACGTTGCTTTGCTTTGCCATTCGCATGGAACTGCTCACAAATTGACCATTGTTAAACCACAAAACATCCATTTCTTGACACTTGCATTGTTATTTACAATGAAAGTGTCCTGATGTTCTAAACCTCCCCACCGTCTTATCTGCAAGCCTTTGGCGCTCAAAGCCCAATTGTATTGCTATTCACAGGGAATTGAGTTCCACCAAAGCCCCAAAGGTTGTGGGGGCTGACAGTGAATTCTGAATTCTGAGCATACTTGTCTTTTTTGGCACTCGCTTCCAACAACTGAGGTCCAAACTCAGACCAGCCAACCTCCTGGCACTTGGATTACTTGATGTTATTGGGTCTTGTTGTTCATTCCGTAGCTCTATCACATGAGCCAAAGTATTCTGCAAAAATTTGCTGGCTGTGGACTGGCATCAAGTATTGAATCAAAATTGAACTGCGGAAGAGTCAGCCGAGGTACATTGGAAGACTCTGCTTGCTTCAAGTAAACTGCTTTACATGCTGTTCTCTCAGGCACAGGCAGTCTGGGATTGATATGTGACAAAGCAAGCGACTTCGTTGTGGGCTGACACGAAAAAATAAGGGTAAGGCGACAGCTTAGGAAGCACAATGGCAATGGGAGACAGGAACGGCAAGTGGAGACCTTCAAGCATCAACCGAAGCTTCGATCAACTTTCCAGGTACTCTGCGAGCTTGGGCGATGTGTGAGCCTGACCTTGTCTCCCCAGCTGCCTTTAGAAGACGGAAACCGAAGCCAGCACATCCCAACATAGCATCTTTGTAGCAACAGTTCCTGATCACACCTAACACCATCTTCCAAGCTTGAAAACACATAAATGCCCAAAAATGAGCTCATCAAAAGGGGAGTCGGAGATCATTGCAACAAATAAAGGTAAACACTATTAACAAACTGATCATTCCTCAACAGTCAACTTGTCGTGGTCCCATCTCCTGGTCAGCCTGGTTCTCCAGATTTGTCACCACCAGCGGCGGAGATGGCCTCTCCACGTCACTCCCCACGATGCCCGCCAATCTCTGAAGAGGCAAAAAGAACCGAACAGTCCGCACACACTCTTTCTCTTTTATGCTGGAGCTTTGTTGCACAGTTTCAAGCTCGTCGCGAAAACGACTGGAAACCAGATTTCAAAAGTCTTGAATTCAGATTTAACCTCTGTCCATATACCTGGCTGTGTCTGTCTGCTACACTCTCGAATCTGGATGCAAGTCTTTTTGGCACTCCACTTCTTAGTTTTCACTTAAATCCAAATTTAACCTATTCTCATTCGTGTGTAAGGCATTTTTGATCTGGAATTTAAATGCAAGCCTGGGCCATTGTAGTGTTAACAATTCAGCTTCCATTTGGACTTGAGCTGCTTGATGTTGTTTTCGAATTTGGTTGAACTTAGATTCAAGCCTTCTGCCTAGCATTTCTAATTTGGTTGAACTCAGATTCAAGCCTTCTGGTTAGCATCACGGACAGAGTCAGATTTGAATTCGAGTCGTGTTTGTGTCTTCTGGTTGCTTGCTTGGATTCGACTTTCAAGTGGCCTGAAGCAAGCTTGGGGTTTCTTGCTTTCGGCTCCATTTTTCCTATCAGATGACTTAGGGATCTCTGAGGGATTTTTCCTACATGTTTTATCGTAGACAGCCCCGCTTTCGGCCGATCAGACTGCTGCGCCGCTGAAAAAACAGCGGGTCAAGGCAGAGCCTCTGCCAAAGTGACGACGCTCTTTTTCCAAGAAACAGAGCCGAAAATGATGTTCAGATTCCCGCGCTTTGGTTTGCTTGGGCTTGGTTGCTTTCCTCTCCTCTCCTCTCCTCTCCTCTCCTCTCCTCTCCTCTCCTCTCCTCTCTGTGAAGTGAGTGTTGGGGCCTAGCTGCTGAGAGCTCTTGAATTCAGATTCAACCCATTCAAGCGCGTGATCCACC